TCACAACACACTGGGCTAGCTAACCAATCAGAGCCCATCGCCTATTTCTGAGGGCGGGGCTTCATAAAAACAGGAAAAGATCAGCCCGTTTCTCAGAGAAGGGATAGAGCGGTGTGGAATAAAGGTAAATTAAGTGAAAAATAATGAGTTTTTTTTTTTTTAACGAAGCATTAACTCATGTTAGACTGCACCCCATAAACACAATCAAGCCTAGAAAAAAAACAGTGAACCACCCCTTTAAGACTTATTGTGACACCCCTGAAAGTTTGCTGAGGCCCCCTAGTGGGCCCCGGCCTCCTGGTTGAGAACCACTGATATGATGTCCCTTGTTGGGCTAAATTGCTTAATTTTTTTCACTGAATATACTGAAAATATTTTTTCATATTCCTTGGAATAACAGGCAGTGTCCAGAGGGCTTCACGTGTATAAAAGCAGGTCGTAATCCTGACTACGACTACACAAGCTTTGACACATTCAGCTGGGCCTTCCTCTCACTCTTCCGACTCATGACACAAGACTTTTGGGAAAACCTCTACCAGCAGGTACAGCCCTGACATCAGCTTACCATCCATCTGGTCTCAATATCCTCCTGTAGACATGAAAAGACACCCTATATCCTTCTACAATGTCTAGGCCATGGCTATTTATTTCTTATAAACATTATACCACACCATTGTTTCTTGAAGCTCCAGCACAATAGCAAAACAAATTTAATTTTGTCTGAGTTGTGAGCTAATTGAATGCAATGAGAGTATGTGAGTATGGTCAAAAAGTTTAATGTCATACGCAAACAAATAGGAACTGACCCTTCGCTGGAGTTTGATTGACAGGCTATCTGACCAATCATAATGCCGAATCTGCTATTTTGTCCGACAAACAAATCAGACAGGAGATTAGATTTACATCAGTGGACTTGAACTTGAAAAATGGTGTGTATTGACATCTCTCTGCGGTTGAAACAAGATACCTTCTGATGTTCATGCATGTTTATTTTGTGCTATAACTAGTAATTATTACAATTTATGATTACTTTAATAACAATTTCTCAGAATGAAGTAAGTTTGGTACACTTAATTCAGTTTCTTTACTGACTGGACCAACCAAAGTTGCATCTGATATCACATACTGTCAGAGTAGGTTCAAATTTTTGATGAAGAACTCTTTGTGACCATGAAAAAGGAATGTTCTATATGTAGTATGAAAAGTGTGTAGTTTGAATGAAATGTTGGAAGTGTCATTTGACCTGCATTGCAAGTTGCGTTGCTTCAGAGCAATTCACAACTCCATGGCCTTATTGGATAGTAAAGTGTCCAACTGACAGATCAACCGGGTACTTTGCACCTGCGGATTTATGCATATTATGCATATTTGCATATACTCTTATCACATACTGTTTTCGCCTACTATATAGTACGGAACTAAGAGTATTCTGACACAGGGCAATTTTTTTCTGTTGTAGGTGATATTTTAAAAATAAAGAAAACATTATGAAGTTTAGCCCATTCTCCTGTATGCATTAGAAAACATCAGCATCTCTCCATTAACTAATCAATATCCTTTCACTTGTTTTTTCATTCTCTTTTTTCCAAAAAAGCATTTTTGTAACATTTTGTTCGTGTATGTGTGTTCTGTCTCTCACAGACCCTGCGTGCAGCTGGAAAGCCCTATATGATCTTCTTTGTTCTTGTGATCTTCCTGGGCTCCTTCTATCTGGTGAATCTCATCCTGGCTGTGGTGGCCATGGCATATGATGAGCAGAACCAGGCCACCATAGAAGAGGCTCAACAGAAAGAGGAAGAGTTTCAAGCCATGCTAGAACAGCTAAAGAGACAGCAGGAAGAGGCACAGGTAGCAAACACACATAGACACACTCATACTAGCATGTCAGAATACACAAACAGAGTACTTGTAATTAGATTAAATTACATTAAAAACACTTGTAATCAGACTACAGTTACTTTTTTATTGATTACATGATTATATATTATTCACACAATAGCAATAATTTATTCATAATTGTGACCCATACTGGCAAAATGAGTCGGAATGAGCACAGGCTAATTTTCAGC